GTCTTAAAGTTGCTAAGGTTGGAGACCCCTGATCTATACTACCAATTCTATGACAGCAGGCTTCATATGTCAAGAGGGTAGCCACGGAGAAGGAGTGGACTTGTTCTGTATTCAAATCACACCCCTACTGAAAGACTCCATATAGATGGAGAGGTAAATTGATTTTTTTATATATATGGAGAGGTAAATTGATTTTTTTTTATATGGAGAGGTAAATTGATGATAACTTGCCAGATTAGTTATCAATGTGGCTTGAATTATTATTTGAATTATTAAAGGTGGCATGTTAAAACCTAATATCCCGGCGTGCACAATCACATTTATTTCGCTCTACACTTAAATAATTCTTTCTGAAACATGATGAAATCTTCAAAAAAACATTGCCTAAGATTGAAATTGGGATCAAAACAGAATATCGATCGATTGTTTCATTGAATGATTGATTGGGTGAAATGCAATCATCATGCTGCCATCAAAACATCTGGGAAGGTTGCAAATGGTGATTGCCTGACTGTAGGATATTGCAATTGTCATAAGTTGCACATTGGTTGCCAAGCACCCAGATTGCAATCACATGACGGCAGGCATTCTGCCATGATCATAAGTGTGAGGACTGGTTGCAAGTCACGTTTTTCAGCACTGTTGTAAGTTCGAATGGTTATATATCAAGGCCTACCTGTAGGACTTTCAAAGGGAACAATGGCTCAGTAGTTGGAAGCAGACCAGCAGGATTGAAATTTGTGGTGAGGTGTTGGTGGGGACTGTTCATTTTCCCATTGTTGGGGTTGCCTCTCTACATCCTGAGACAAAATGATGAAAAACAATATTGCTGAATATTGGCAATTGGTAGCTACAGAAGAGAAATCAGTGGGCCTATGGGTCTCCCATACTTGCTCTAAAAGAACAAATAGGAATTACCTAATCTCCAGTTTCCCCTAACACTTTTAGCATTCCCAACCAGCCAGTCTGCTCCATAGATAAAAAAAAAATTGGGATTGTTCCAACAGAACAGGCACAAATGAAACTCCTGATGGAATTTGAGAGACTTGTTTACAAAAAGAGATCTAATTACTTTGTTCAAGGAAAGCGCTGTAGAACAGTGGTTCTCAAGCTAGTTGAAGACAGCAGTGGTAGTGGTGATTGTTACCTTACTTTTAAATGTTAGGGGGAAGTATTCTCGCTTGCAGCAAGTTCTTCTTGTTTTGGGGGGGATTATCAGATGATGAGAAGATGAAGGAGTGCAAAAAGAAAAAAAATCTGCATTGAATATGACTTCATGAAACCCACTTTCAATGTTAAAGAAAGAAGGCAACAGTAATAGAATGGAAAGTGTCTGTTCATCTCTACCTGTAGCTCTGGAACTTTCCTGAGTAAGATGTGAGAAATACTCATGGAAGCCTTTTCATGGTGCCTCTCTTCTTTTTCTAGAAAAGAGCGGAAGAAAGAAGTGTATTTCTAGCCAAAATACTGCTCCTACCACAAACTCTACACCAGCGACAGGCGGAAAACTGTATTTCATAGAAAGCAATTTTTTTCTTTTAAAACTATATTTATTTAATTTATTTTCTATTATTTTAATAGTTTTCTTTCAAAACTATTTAGAAACAGGTTTAAAAGAGTCATGGTGGTGCAGTGGTTAGAATGCAGTATTGCAGATTAACTCTGCCCACTGAGTTCGATCCTGACCGGCTCAAGGTTGACTCAGCCTTCTATCCTTGAAACAATGGAAAATGAGGACCCAGATTGTTGGGGGCAATATGCTGGCGTTGTAAACTGCTCACAGAGAGCTGAAAGCACCATGGAGCAGTATATAAATCTAAGTGCTATTGCTATTTAGTAGCTGTTTTCATTAAATGGACTGTCTTTTTTTCTTTTTGCAATGCAAGTAGGTTGTTAGTGTAGCACCCACACAACTCTTAAACATTGTTACTATTTGGGATATGCATGTTCATACATGTGTTGTACGAACGCCCGCATACAGACCTATGCTTCTGTTCATTTCTTCTCAGGCATGCCAACTGGACTTCAAGGGCAAAGCATATCTTCAGGGAGTTCTGAAATCAAATCAGATGACGAAGGAGATGAGAACCTCCAGGACACGAAAGCTTCCGAGGACAAGAAGTTAGATGATGACAAGAAGGATATCAAATCAATTACTAGGTCAAGATCTAGGTAACCGTATATAATAGTGTCGCTTCATTTAATTCCTTTATTGGATTTTGATGAAGTGAACAGAACAGGAAGAAACTCTGGAGTTTCTTTTCCTGCTGGTCAAAATCAAACCAAGAAAACTCATAGCCCTTTCTGGAAGTACTAAAGAGTATCTGTTTGGATGCTTGTACTCTAGAAGGGCTGAATTTGGGGAAAGGACGGACTTTTAGGCAGAACTGTGTGGACAGAGCTATATAGACGTACATTGGAGTCAGTTTCAGTGGTCTGATGTACCTATGAAAACACACACAAAATTTTAAGCAGATGCCATTTTTATGATAGTTATTTTATAATAGTTATGTGGAATAAACATATTCCTTCCTAGATTTTTTTAAAGAACATAACTGTAATCATAACAGTAAGCTGGATAAATCGGAGTAGCTTGTCCAATTTAAGCAGAAGTAATTGTTAAGATGATTGCCAAGGTTTGGAAAGAAACTTGAATAAATTCATCAACTCTTGTTCCCAATAATAATTTGGAACCCTTATGTAGACCATTGTTTCTTGCTTACAGGCATTGATGGCCAGAGTAGGCAAGATTCTTCTTTCATTACCACTGACCCTTAGTCTGTCCCTTAATGTTTTTCATAAAATATATTGGATTTCATCAGCAAGAAAGCTTCTGAATCTTCTCATTACATTCAGATTTTTGTCTGAAATGATAGAACAGTTGTTGAGTATTAAATAAACCAATCTTTCCTTGTGCGTGGGTTTTATAAAATGGAGTAGAATACAGGAAAGTCTCAGAAATAATAAATAAAAATTTATAAAATTTCATTTAATATGCACTTAAGATAACATTTTGCTCCTTCAGCATGCAACTATTTCAATCTCTTGTATTCAGTGGCTGAAGGAATCAGTAATTCAGTCAAGAACTATGAAATAGCCTTGAGAGATTCCCAGATGCCTGAATGCATAAAAATTGTATTCTGATTTCTACGTGTGTAAAATACTACATGATATAAATCCTCATAACACAGCAGACCTAATGCCAAAGAAGTGCATTTAAGTAGGTTATGAGAAGTATCTACAAAGAACTCATAATGTGGCAATGAAAGAAATATATATTGGACCGTATAGCTAAACCGTTTTAATTCAGATTGGTTAATGCTGTTGTCAGATATTAACTGTTCATGTTTATTGTATGTTTGTTGATTGATTGATTGTTACTACTAACCCTCTCAAGTGTGCTCTGAGCATGAAGGAAAAATACAAATTGAGAAATAAAATCCACCAATCATCATTTTCATCATCATCTAGATCCTAGAATTCCTTTGGGTCATACTGCTCTTCGCTCAACTGCCATTCTGTGGACAATAGTTCATTACATAAATATAGACTCAAATAAACAAATAGAAGATCTGCATCCAGTTTTCCAGGGAAAAGGCAACACTAAGTGGACAAAGGCCAATTTGATTTCTGATATTGCTCATTATCAATAGAAAACAACATTTGTAGGTCAGAGTTGGACAGTGGGATCCTTAATACCCTATGAGCTTTGTTGTGTTCTTGCAGACATTTCATTGTCTGACTAAGTAACATCATCAGTGCAATGCACTATAGAGTCAGTTTGGTCTAGTAATTAGAGCACCAGACTAGAAAATGGGAGAGCAAGTGCTGCTTTAGCCATGAAAGCTAACAGGGTGTATTTGGACCAGTCATTCTCTCAGACCAACCCAACTCACTGATGGGTTGCTATTGTGGAGAAGAAGGAAGATGTGTTGGATATGTTCACCACCTTGAACTATTTGTAAAAATAATAAAGGTGGGATACAAATACTAATAATAAATAAGGGACTCAGTGGCTAAGATTCTGAGCTTGTTGTTCAGAAAGGTCGGCAGTTTGGCAGTTTGAATCCCTAGTGCCGCGTAACGGAGTGAGCTTCCGTTACTTGTTCCAGCTTCTGCCAACCTAGCAATTTGAAAGCATGTAAAAAATACAAGTAGAAAAATAGGGACCACTTTGGTGGGAAGGTAACAACGATCCATGCATCTTCAGCGTTTAGTCATGCTGGCCACATGACCACGGAGACGTCTTTGGACAGCGCTGGCTCTTCGGCTTTGTAACAGAGATCAGCACCGCCCCCTAGAGCCAGAAACGACTAGCACATATGTGTGAGGGGAACCTTTACCTTTACCTTTTTACAAATAAACAAGAAAAAAATTCAAGAAAATATCAGAGAGCACCAAGGCCCCTACATTGCTTATTATCCTTCTACTAACTACATTTTGTTCCTTAAAAAACAGCATAAATTTGTGGCGTTTGGAGGAACATATAACTCACTGCAGAAATAAAGAATTAGAGTTACGACATTTACAAATGAGCCCTAGAGCTCAAGGTGTCATATCTCCTTCCCAGCTCTTTCAGTTGGCTCTCCTTTTTTTTTTTGTAAATTTTATTTGAGTTTTCACAAAGAGAAAAAAAAATACAAATAAAACATCTTTTTTGAAAGCAGCATAATCCCGGGTTACATTTCTTCGTACAGACACAAATCCAGGTTCATGCTCATTTTTATATTCTATTCCATATCTTATTACTATTTTACATTTTCTGCATAGCTTAATCATTGTATTTATATTTTTTGTCTGTCCTGTTTCAATTATCTATTATCTTTTCTCATTAAACAAAATTTCTCCTGTAGTTACTGATTGGAGTATGATGCCTTTATATCTTTTCCCTAAAGTTGTAACATTCAATATAATACATAACTTCCATTCGGATTCTGCTTGGTACATTCTTAAAATACACACTGTATTCTTAAAAAAAGAAAAAAATATATAAATGTATATAATTAAAACAACATTCCATTCCAATTCAATTCTATCATTAATATTAATATTCATTAAAGTCTTAACATCTTTAACATTACTTTTCAATTAAATATCATACTTCTATGGGAACAATTATAAGCTTTCCATAGTTAATTCCCCCCCCCTCTTCACTTATATTTTATAAAACATTAACTAATTAAAATGTTCCCGTTCCTTCCTAATTCAATTTTCTCATTTATTTTATTTCACTTATTTTATTCACAAACATTTCACTAAATTACACTAACTATTTTATCCCTGATTTTAATCATACGTTGTTTCTAATTTTCTAAAATTATTTCTATTACAAATATAACAATACAATCTTATGTACCTTTACAGAATCCCTTTTTCAGTTAGATTTTCACCCATTATCTCTAAATAGGTCCTGTTTCTCTATATCTTGCTCCGGTCCTTTGTAACTTCTTTTCCTTTCCTTCTTCCCTCTCTTCTTCTCTCTCCCCTTTTTACCCCCTTGTCTCTCTACCTCTGTTTCTCTCTTCTGTATTCCCCTTTTCCGTTGCTTTCCAGTATTATACTTATTTTTTGAATTATTTTTCTTTTCTTTGGTTGTTTTTTTAAGTCTTGAATTCTCCATTCTCTTTCCCCCCCTTTCCTTTTTCTTCCCCACATAGAATTACTTGTTCATTAAAGATGGCTTCTTCTTTGTCCCAGTCTTCTTGTTTTGCAGTCTTTTCTTGTTGTTTCTTATAGTTCCAAATCTCCATTTCTAAAAATTGAAAGATGAAGCCAAAAGAACCCTTCCATTCTTGTGCATCTTCTTTGTACTTTTTAAGTTCCATTTTCAATTCATCCAGAAGTGGTGCTATTGTATAAATTTTTAAACAACCACCCAGTTGATTTTAGTCATTCAAATATAATAACCAAAAATCCAAAGATTACCAAATAATCCAAATACCCACAAGCTGTTTCTTTTTTGCTCTTTTTTTTCACTTTCTCTTCCTGGGGTTACTATTTAGTTGCAAAGTTTCAGTTAAAATGTATCTTTTAGAAGTCTTGTTGAAGTTTTACTTTAGATTCTTTTTAATTCCAGGCAGTCTCCTCCCACTTCCAGATCCTGCCCTTATTCTTTTTCTCTCCCTTCCTGCTTATGAAAAAGAAAGTTTTTAATGTCCAGAAATCTTTATTATCCCTTTGGCATTTTGTTTTATTTTCAGCTTAATTGCCTATTGATGTCAAAGCGGATTTTTCCGATTTCTTATTTAAGTCTCTTAGTTGTCAGTATAGGGAAGGAGAGAGAAGGGGGAAAAAAGCCAAACCTTTCCCTTTTCACTTTCCTTCGCTGCTTCCGACTCTTCTTTGGGAGCGATGTTATTTTTTGTAAATTTAAATTCCAGGGTACCTTGGTAGCTCCTTTTACAATTTAACCCGGTCAGCCAAAACTTTCACTTCTTATCTTCCTCCTGCACATTCTTTTCCGATCAAGTTCTTCTTTGTGGTGGCCATTTCTGACCACCGCTGCAACCGTCTTCGGGAAAGGGAGTAATGGCCAGCTGAGGAGGAGAGATGCAGCTCTCCTCGACCCTGCTGGCGGTCTCCCCCCTCTTCACCACCTCTACGGGGTGGGTTAGCCCCGAAACCAGCCAGCTCAGGGCGCTCCAGCGGCGAGCCCAGGCAGAAACCGCGCACGATCGCGGATTTCTGTCTGTCACCGAAGCCCTTAAAACCGGAAGTCCCAGTTGGCTCTCCTTGAAGCACAGTTACCTATCCAAAGTCTTTCAGTGAACCATATGGCTGAGTGTAGATTTCAGCTTCCTTAGATCAGTGCAGGCTTCCTTATTACAGAATTGCCATTTCTGATTAAAGCAAAGAGAAAGAGCCACAGGTTAGCAAGTATCATTACATCCTACTTTGCCCCTTTGTTTTGGATTTTAGCAGGCTCTGTACAAAGTTTGGTATCCTTCAGACATTTTGAGAAACCTGAATTAGCTGCAGGCTAAATTACCTTTTAGCATAATATAAAAATCCTACAGAGGAAAAAAGATAATCGCTAAGGTTAATAATAACTAAGATCACTGTATAAATAAATACATATAAGTAAAAGCATATGCATGTATTACAACAGCAACCTTAGCTTTTGTTTTAACATGTTTTACCTATTAGAGATGTGCAGTGCCTTGGATTTAATTCCAGAAAGATATTTCAGAATGCATAGAGGCACACTCAGCAGCATCTTATTGCACCCTCTTAAGCAGATGTGTCTTTCCAACTATCCTGGAATAATACGTTGCTGCTTTAAAGGGTTGCACAGAACCCTTGTGCTCACATGCATTCTGAAGCACATTTTTGGAATCAGATTTTAAGACCTGCTCAAAACAATTATTCTCTCCAAATTTTATTAATTTATCAAACTACAGAAATACAAAGAAAAATGAAAACAGTGGGAAAATAGGGGAGGAGGAGGAGGAGAGGAAAAACTGTAGGGTAAATGGGGGGAGCATTGATTTTCAATTATTTTTGGTGCAGTAGAGTAAGGTAATAAAATACAATCTCAACTTTCCTTTGATTTTGGTTTTTGCTGATTAGATAGGCTTGTGGTTATAGAAATGGCTAGTATATATTATGTAAAAAGAAAAAATAGCTAAGGTTAATAATGATGGCTAAGGTTAATAAAAAAATGAAACTTTGATTTTGGTTTTTGCTGATTAGATAGGCTTGTGGTTATAGAAATGGCTAGTATGTATTATTATGTAAAAGTTTCATTTTTTTTCTATCTCAATCACAAAATCCAAAAACAGTTTCCGAGTAGAAACAAAATGAATTGCATTCTTTTCTTTAATTAAATCAGTCAATTTAGCCATCTCTGCTAACTCCAACTTTTGCAGCTATTTGTCCATTGTGAGAATCAAAGTACCTTTCCATTTTTGTGCATAGAATATTCTGCTGCTGTCAGCATACATAACATCAAAATTCCAATTTGTTTTTTCAAATAGAATAGAATAGAATTCTTTATTGGCAAGTGTGATTGGACATACAAGGAATTTGTCTTCGGTGCATAAACTCTCATTGCACATAAAAGCTATAAGTGAAAAATCATGATCATAGTCATCATAAAAATACATTCATCATAAATCATAACTTAGAATCTACATAAATCATACTAGGAAACTAAATAAAACAATATAAACTGTAAAAATACAAGCAACAAAGTTATAGTCATAAGTAGAAAAGGAGATAGGTAATAGGAAAGATGAGAAGAATAATATTAATACAGTCTTACTAAAGACTTACTTTATCCATTAAGCCAAAGGAAAAGTCTCTGATTTTGTCTAGAACGATTGTAGACCAATGTCTTGAATATATCAAAAATCATGCTACAGTTGTAGTTCTTTCACTGATGTATGTACTGTTTATTACATTCAATATGACAGATGCCAATGAAACCATATATTGGCACGTATGACTTTTTTTGAAGCATTTTGCTCATTCACACTATTCAATGCAGCTAAAGCTTTATGTTCCTGTGTTCCTTTTAAGTAAGGCTCATATTTTGAAACAGAGTAACATGTTGATAAAACACCTGAAGTTTCAACCCCATTAGAAAATCCTGTGCTAATGTTTCCCTCTCAGCAATAATGACGATGAAGATCTTACTCCGGAACAAAAAGCAGAGCGCGAGAAGGAAAGAAGAATGGCCAACAACGCCCGTGAGCGCCTGCGTGTCCGTGACATCAACGAGGCTTTCAAAGAGCTGGGCCGGATGGTACAGCTCCATCTAAAAAGCGACAAGCCCCAGACCAAACTTTTAATCTTACATCAAGCTGTAGCAGTTATCCTCAGTTTAGAGCAGCAAGTCAGAGGTGAGTTACGGCTAATTTTATACAATCATTCTGCAAATCTCAACCTCATTCAGATGTTTTGAAGAAAGACTAGAAAGCTTAGATCTTAGGAGGATTACTGTGCTTCACTAATGATGCGATGATGGATTAGATGCCTCCAGGTCATAAGGATGCTTTGTTAAAACCTTGGTCTGAAGCCATACAGGCCAGGGCACCACTTTGCTATGTTAAACTGCTATGAAAGGATCATCCTTACACTACAAAGTAGTATAATTGAAATGGCTAAAATAAAGCTTGGATCCCAAGAAGCAAGTCCTCAATTTTAAGTCATTTATAATTCAGTTATAAGATGGGGGCATTATGCGTTGGAGGTGGTTAGTGGAGTAGGAAGAAAATCACATGCTACCCCATAGTATTTTGGTTTTAACGTAATTAATTTCTATTTATCTCATTTTTAATTTTTGTTAGCTCTGTTATTTTACGGTGTTTATAAGCCGCCCTGAGTCACATGACAGTGAGATGGGTGGCATATAAATTTAATAAAGGAATAAAGTGAAATAAACCAGTATCACAAAATTCATTGTCAATTGTGTTATCAATCCAGTGATGATTATTACTCCAAACTCCTAAGGTGGTTACTATGTTTAGTACTGTAGATAAATTATGTTGTACAATACCAGTGCTAAGTTGCAGTGATTAAAATAACTTTAAACTTCTGATTTGAATTAACAATTGTTTTGAAATGCCGGTGAATCTCTGTCTCAAATGTCACAAATTGAGATGGGCGAGGCCTGGAGATGAAATGAAGACAATCTTTAAGTGGAAAATTAGCCAGAGACATGAGATTCAGAGAATCAAAATTATTTCTCTTTATAATGGAGATTCCTGGCCAGTTGAAGGAACTGACAGCAGGATGAGCAAGATGTCATACTTGAACGCACAAAGTAGCTAGGCCACAGGCTTTAAAGGTTGTTGTCAGCCCTGAAGCTAGCCAGACTGAGGCTATTTTGAGACTTTAGCACTGACACCCTGGAGAAGGACAGGGAGGAGGGAATAGAGATAGTTGGGATTTGTAGTCAAACAAAATACTTTCTCTTGGGAATCAAGGACATTCCTGCAGGTACACAGAAGGAGGGGACTGGCGTCACTTAGCAATTGGACAGTATCCTGATTGGACCATGTGACTGTTTTGAAAAAGTGAAAAACTTTTAGTTAGGTAAAATCTGCGGGAATAGTCAGAGTCAGTTTTCACCAGCCCATGCCAATATGACCTATCCAATAAACTTATTCTTTGAGGAGTCTACCTGCCTCAGAGTTTCATTTGCTATGGGTATGTTACTTGGAACCCTATAAGTTGTTTAATGTTACCTTAAATTTTGGTTTCACAGAAAGAAATCTGAATCCTAAAGCGGCGTGTTTGAAAAGAAGGGAAGAAGAGAAAGTATCTTCGGACCCTCCTCCGCTTTCTTTGGCGGGACCCCACCCTGGGATGGGAGACACATCTAATCATATGGGGCAGATGTAAAAAAAAAGGAAAAAGGTACGTATGTCTTGACCATTAATTCAAAATGGCGCCGACAACGGCTGCCTTGGTGAAATGCTCTCTAATGGTTTCTTAAGATTTGATTGTTCTGCCTTAGATAACTTATGACTATTATTAAGTATTGTACCTTATGATTCTTGACTCTTGATGAATGTCTCTTTTCTTTTATGTACACTGAGAGCATTTGCACCAAGACAAATTCCTTGTGTGTCTAATCTCACTTGGCTAATAAAGAATTCTATTCTATTCTATTCTATTCTATTCTATTCTATTCTATTCACCAGTCTCCTCCTAGTGACAATAATACCATGGCTATTAGTTTCCTTAGAACAAATATTGTTCTACTGTTTCTTTCCACAAGGGCCTTTCCATGGTGCAGAAACCAGGAGATTGTGAGTTCTAGTTCTGCCTTAGATACAAAGCTCACATTTACAACCATTTGTAGCATGCTGTGATCATATGATCGCAGTTTGCAATGGAGGGTTTTTTTTACCAGTTGCTAGCCCTTTTTTGCAAGTTTCTGGCCAAAAAACCCCAAACAAACACCCATTCAGGAGAATAGATGCAGGTTTCCAGTTATATGATTTGCTTAATGACCACGTGCTTTGTACATGGTTCATTTAACAACCCCACGTAAAATGGTAGAAAAACTGACGACCATAACAACATACAACTGAGATTCTGGTCATAATTGTGATGTAGTAAGTTGAGGACTATCTGTAGTCTCTTCTCAGTCCTAGGAGGAAAAAAATAAAGATAAACCACTTCCAAAATCTTGCTTAGAAAACTGCAGGGACACTGCAGGCCATCGCCAAGAGTCAAGATTGACTCAAAGGCAACCAAAAAAACCTTCCATATTCATCAATTACATAGATAACACTCTTTTTTTTAATCCAATATTATTTTTCGTCTTAATTGAATATCTCATTTGAATTGCTTTTTGCTACATTCTGTTTTATTTGTTAGCTTCTCTCGCTCTCTTTTTTTAATTAAGTGAACAACTAACTCCACCCTGTCATGTCTTTATTATATCCCTTTATTTATTGCTTTGTAGCTCAATTTTCTCATATGGGTTGAAGTGAGAGGAAGAAATCTAGACCAGATCAGACACAATCACAAATTAGGAACATGTTTGTTTCTCTTGTTGCATAGCATCAGAATACCTAATGAACATGGAAAACATTCTGGGGGTTGGCTACACACATTGGCTGGATCCTGCCAGCGTTCTGACAGAACAACAACAATAACTGCCAATTTGAATTTATTCTATGTTCCCCAAATTCCCCAGAATACTTCATAAAAATGTTCTATTTTTATGACATAATGGGAATACATTTATATGTCAGGACTGAGTCACTAACAGATAACTTACCAAACAGGTTACAGGAAATTCAGCAGGTTTTATAGATGGGGAACAAGAAGAATGGAGTTAAAATTATTTCCCTGAATTTCTTTACTGAAGGAAATTTTTCACCAACAGGAGTTCATCCTACTGGGAAATTAGTAACTTTAGCAATGTCGGTATCTCCCTCCTTCCATTGTACAAGTAGTCCTTAGACTTACAACCATTTGTTTAGTGACCATGCAAAGTTACAACAGCCCTGGAAAAAAATTAACTTATGGCCAGTTTTCACACTTACTACGGTTGCAGCATCTCCAATGTCACATGGTCAAAATTCCATGGCAGCAAACTTGGGAGGGAAACAAAAAGATTACACTAGCAATAGCACTTAGACTTATATACTGCTTTATAGTGCTTTACAGCGCTCTCTAAGTGGTTTACAGAGTCAGCATATTGTCCCCAACAATTTGGGTCCTCATTTTACCCACCTCGGAAGGATGGAAGGCTGAGTCAACCTTGAGCCTGGTGGGATTTGAACTGCCAAATTGCAGGCAGCTGGCTGCAGAAGTAGCTTGCAGTACTGCACTCTAACCACTGCGCCACAGAGGCTCCTAACACTAGCTACATCATACAAGGAAAACTTGTACAAAATGTTTTATAGGTGGCATCTCCCACCAGCTAGGCTAGCCAAAATGTATGGAAACCAATCACCCAATTGTTGGAAATGTTTGGAAGAACTTACACTTACTATCATTTATGGTGGTCCTGTAAAAAAGCTCAGGAGTTCTGGTACAGAATTTGGTCATGGCTAGAGGGAATGACGGGGCTAAAAATTCGTTACAAACCAAATTTGTTCTTACTGGGAATAATGGAAGAGAAATTTAGCAAAGCCAATTGCTATCTAATTTATATGTAATTACAGCAGCAAGATTGATATTCACCCAAAACTGGAAAGCAAGTGAAATCCCTAGTGAGGATGTTACGATTGATAAGATATTACAATGCGCCGAAATGAATAGGTTGACATTAGAATTGAAGGATCAAGATGAATCAGAATACCATAAAAAATGGAATACATTTTATTTCTGGAGGGACATGAAAGAGAGTTCATAAAATTGAAATAAGAATTTAAGGTGAAATAGGGAAAAGGTGAGGGACCTCATATTTGAGGAACAATGAGAAAGATCTAAAAATTACAAAGATTAAATGTATATATGTATATAAATTTATATAAAAGTACATAACTTCTGTTTCTTTCTAAATGCAAAATGTATTGACAGAAATGTATGTCAAAGAAGACCACCTTGTTCAATGTTTTTAATGTGTATGCTCAATATAAATTATTTTTTTAAAAAAATTTCGGTCACTTGGCACCTGGCATGTATTTATAACAGTCTCTCTCTCTCCTGGAGTCACATGACCATCATTTGTAACCTTTCCAGGTGGCTTCCAAGAATCAAAGTCAATGGGGGAGGGCAGATTTGCTTCACAGCTGCATGATTCACTTAATGCAGTGATTTGCTTAACATTTGTAGCAAAATGTTGTAAAATGGAGCCCAACTCACTTAATATAATTGCCTTGCTTAGCAACAGAAATGTTGAGCTCAATTGTGGCCATAAGTCAAAGACTACCTTTACTTCATTTCATTTATTTGTTTTTTATTCTGCCCGAAGTCATCCTATTACCTTTCATGCTTAAGGCAGAACTAGAACTCAGTCTCCTGGTGAATGGCCCTGCATCACCTAGCTGGCTTTCATGCCTAAGGCGGGACTACAACTCACATTCTCCTGGCTTCTAGTGGCCTTAACCACAAGACCTAACATCTATGGAGATGCTCTGTCATCCAGATCATGGTTGTCCCAAAGGTGCTTTTGCAAGAGGCAACTGGACTTTCTGGGTTTTCTTTGAAGACATTTCGCTTCTCATCCAAGAAGATGAGCTGAAGAAGCCAAAGAAAAACCAGAAAGTCCAGTTGCCTCTTGCAAAAATGAATGTATATTTTCTTTTATGTATACTGAGAGTATTTACACCAAGACAAATTCCTTGCATGTCCAATCACACTTGGCCAATAAAGTATTCTATTCTAAAAGCAGCTTTGGGACACAAGACTCAACCATCTTGTAAGGATTCAGCACATGCTCAGTCCACTTATTCTGCCTCTGTATTTTGAACCCGAAGTGTGAAAAATCTTCCACATGTTTCCAGAAGAGCAATAAGCTCTTTGGGTGATAGAGTAAGGACTGTTGGAAACAGCTTCCAAAGCTTTTTTTTTTAATGCTGAATATGTTGTTATGAAATAAAATTAAGAATAATAAAGATGATTGCATTTTAGCTGACCTGAAATTTTTCCGCTTCTTTCACAGGTCCAAGTTGCCACATTTTCTTCACATAAACCAGAGACCACTTCCTTAAACAGCTGTATTATCTTAAAAAAAAAAACATATAAACACTTAACCCTTCCCCCTCCCTTTTTTTGTAATATAATAAGACAAGTCTGAGTAGTTACGAATCACAGACGCAAGAGATTTCAGCATTCCTGATTTTGAAATAAAGAAAACAAAAGTGCAACTTGAGGGACAACCTCTTTTCAACATATCAATTGGAATGTTTCAAGGAGTATGTTGACAGCTGTCAATGCACAGCCAGGAGACTGAACGGCAATCTTCTCCACACTGTGGGACAATGCATTTGTGCCTAAACTTCTTTTGGAAAAAAAAATATAATTAATTTGTAAGTCTGAAAAAAAAATATTTAATTTAAAAATTGTAAACTTGCAATAATGAAAAGTGTACTTCTGAAGAAAAAAAATGAACGTTTTCATTGGTGTACTAGTCAACTAGTGTTTATACTTACTGGATATTAAAAAGGGATGCTTCGCTACCCTAATATTTACAAAACCAGCAAACGTCCTAATGAAAACTGAAGTAATGACATTAGCCATTCCTTAGGGTAGGAAGAACAGATGGATCTTATAGACCTATGTCAAAATACAAAACACATGGACACAAACACACATATATAAATATTATATAAATATATATATAAATATATATATATATATATATTAAAATTAGTGACTATGGTAAGCTTTGTTCATTTGTTTCCGACTTTTTTGCTCCTGTAAAAAAAAAAGAAAGAAAAAAACAAAGTACTGATTAACTTTTTTTAAGAAAAAAAGATTTTACTGTAAATAAGTTTTTGTTGACGTCTTCTTTCTCTTCCCTCATTGGCCCCTTCAGTTCCTTATTGTAACCTGTAGTGCCAACTCTGTTGCTGGAGGGGCCGTTCCAGGATGAATTCTCACCCTGAGGTTGCTTGTCATGCCTACAGAAAAGTAGCAAGCAATCTCTTGAGTCCTTTGGGGAGAATACAGGATTAGATCAGGTATGTCTCATGTCGATAAGCGTAAGCCACATTGCTGAGACCTCCAAGCCCCGAGGAAGTTCGGTACTATGGTTTCCCAGACTGCTGGGATGTCGGTTAGGAATTCCGAGGGGCTCTAGTCCCTCCCCTACAGTCAACACAAGTTTGGGGAGAAAATGGCCCAGGCAATTGAATTTTGGGGTGGAGTGGTGGAGAATTCTAAACCACAACTGTTGCTCTCATTAGACCCTATTTCTAAGATGTTCAGAGGTACAAGGTTAGAATGCTACAATGTTACCACTGTGCCTTCCAATGTTTATATCATCAAAAAAATGTAACATAAATCAAAGGTGGCTGTGATTTAACAAACCAGTAGAAATGTTAAATTAATGTGTGTAGCTTAAATACAATATGCATCGAGGTGTTTCAGAATACATGGTCGAAGGCCGGGTGGGGGGAGACAGTTGCTAGTCGTATGAGAGTTTGATTTGAAAAAAGAAAACATTTTAAAGGGTATTCCTGAAAGACAGACCATATACTGCCTCCTCCGTTCATTTAAAAAAAAAAACGCCAATATCCAACTGTCACACAGCATTAGAACAAGCCTTACCCGTTCTAAAGCATTAAGTTGCACTTTCTTAAGGAGGAGGGAGTAGAACAGTATTTTTCTGGCCAGTATGAACCAAGTTTTTACTTAACGCATATACATTATAGAAAGTATAGATCAGGGGTGTCAAATTCGATTTTATTGAGGGCCGCATCAGGGTTGTGTTTGACCTCGGGGGGCTGGGGTGGGAGTGGCAAGCTCGATGTCACATGTGTCGGGAGTGCCTGTGACGGCCTGCAGTGCTTCTGCCAGCAAAAACGAGCTCCCGAGCTCTGTTTTCAGCTGCCACAGCCTGCAACCTTCTGCCAGTGAAAACGGAGCCCGGGAGGCCATTTTCGTTGGCAGAAGCACCGCGGGCCGTCCTTTGTTGTTTCCAGGATGGCCCGTGGGCCAGATCTAAGCACCCCGGGTCTTGAGTTGACACCCCTGGTATAGATCAAGCTTATGACACAGCAACTCATCCAATAATTGGATTTCAGGGCATCTCAACAAGCACCCACAGTGAATCTTCCAAAGATTTACTGTGGGAGACAGAACAGTTAACTGACATTGCTCCCAATTCAGTCTTTGTCAGCATCTTTTTGTCTCCGGTTCAAGCTTCTGATTTTTATTTTTTTTTTCAAAATAGCCACGCAAGCTTGGCATGTTATTTTTAAACGGAATCTCCCGGTTTGAATAGATTTTCCACCTATCAACACTGAGTAAATGCCATATACCCATTGAAAACGGTCTATAGACTTTCCATCTGTTCTCCTGTTTTGCCAGTTACATAGTAATGAAAAAAAAAATACATTTGTAAATTTTATGCAACAAAATGGCAAACGTATCATTATTTTGAAATTGTGTATGTAAAAGTTATATTTTTACATGTAGACTCTTGTTATTATGTGTTTTAATACATTGTATCAAACTTTTGTTTTTTTTTAAACTGTGGTTGAAACAAAATCTCATTTAAATGAAATAGTGAGAAATAAGAATCTTAATTTTATGTTACTGAAAAAGCTAAAAGAACAAATATGGTAGTTTGCCATGTGAACCACCCTTTCCATATCCATAAACATTTTGATTACCTGTATGTGTTGAAAATTGTAAATATGTTCAGTAGCAGTAAAACTTTTAAAAATACTATTATTTGTTAATAAGTTTCTCAAATGTGGAGGTGGATTAAGCTCATAATAGAGCAGAGACTGTGTAAGTTGAAATCAGAACAAGAAATGAGTATTTCATCGCAGATGCCATACTTCTAATAGAATATGTGTAGATGAAAATGTTTTGTCTTAAACCTAATTCTTTTAGTACTGGTATTCTAAACATTGGAGGATTCTCTTTTAATTGACAAGTTATTAATATAGTTTAGGATTAAAGTTTTTTTATAAAAAACAATTCTAATACTTTTAATGGGAAGTTGTTATTTCAGAGGATAACTTTGCGTTAAAAACCTGGATAAATCAAAGAGGCGTTAACTTCCATCTTGATGTCATCAGTGTGAGCATTTCTGCTTGTTTACATTCATAATGCAAAGATTTCAAATCGTCTGCTCTGTATATAAAACTTAATTTGGATAAGAGAGAGCTATCAACACAAAATCAAAATGCCGTCTTTTTAATAACTGCCCAGATTGATGACATTGTATGAATCTTGAAACATGCAGTCACAGAACATTGATAAAAAGATGGTTTTCATTACCAGCCATTCAGTACATTTGAACAGCAGAGATGATTCTAAACAGGAATGAAAATGGTGATGTACATAGAACCAATAGAGGCTTAGTTGTTTATAAAACAGTAATCTAATCTCTGTGGTTTTGGACATGGTTTCCTGTTCCATAATGGAATTTAAACTTGAAAATTAATCAGTCATGATGTTTTCTGTTGTTCACCCTCTCCCCTCCCTCCTCTGCTTGCTTTAATTTAGTATGTGATCCTAAGAAATAAGACATCAAGAATTGCTTAACTTTCACTGCTGCTGTCCACAGTGGGAGTTGTCACTTGTTAAAAGATCTGGCAATGACTTTTAATGACCGAGAGGTAGAGGTGTGCAAGTTGTTTCGAATTTGAAGTGTTCCATATATATTCCGCAGGTCTTTTGAGCTCGAAGCAAAAGCATCGTGTTGAGATTTTGAGATGCTTCCACGATTGTCAGAAAATTCAGCAGATTTGGAGTGCTTTGCACACTTGTACGAAGGAAAAACCACATATTGTTGTACAACAATGAACAGTACTTGGACACTACAATTGTAGAAATCTATCCAACGTGTAATGAATGATCCACCTCCACATTCAAGTAATTTATGAATACACAGATTAAGGAAATCTGTTCATCTAGATTTTTTTTTAATTATTTTTTACATTTGTCTTACGTGTTAGCTGCAAAGGACACTAATGTTTATACAACTGTCAGTTCAACCAGTGATGCAACTTGTAATTGATGCAGTCTTCCGATTTGTTTTATTCGTTGATTTCATTGGAAGGGTGGGGACGGGTGGGGATAGAGTGGGAGGAATGCGGAGCAATTTCCAAATTTTCATTGTTCTGTTCAACAGGCACAGTGCAACCTGTGCCAGACCGTGTAATAATAGTACATTGCCACAAACGAAGAGAATTTTATCGGGTGAGAAAAAGCACAAGTCAAGCTTAATCCACTGACTGATACGAGAAGGAAAAAAAATGATTTTTCTAAAGATGGAATACAATGAATTCCAACACAGTGGGGGCACCAAGATTTTTCTTTCTTTCCTTCCTTCCTTTCTTTCTTTTTCTTTTTCATTTTCCTAGCATCTTCTCATGGGACTTGAAACTGATTCACCCTTGTGCAGTGCTGGTTTGACCATACTCATTTCAAGTATTATAGACTTATGTAATGGTGAAAATATATGAACTGTGGCCTTTTTCATTCTTGTTACTTGTGATGCAACTAAGTGAAGATACGGAAAAGCAGAGGTTTACCATGTATCAGTGCCTGCCTTTTTGTTACAAAGCTTTGTTTGTCTAGTGACCTTTTTGCTATAAAATAGACTGTAGTACACCCAAGTAGGATAAAAGAAAAGCCTAAATTTAAAAAAAAAAGTATATTTGGCTTATTTTTCACAGGAGCAATCCTTTTATACCACAAATATTGGGGGTGAAAGGGTGGGACGGGGTTGTCAGATTCTGAATATTTCTTCTTTGTAGATGTTTGGAATCATTCTAAGTAAAAGTTTGTTACTTTATTTTACTATTTAAAAGATGTTATTTTACATATGTGTTACCAAGATGAAATTGTACGATAGCTTTTTTTTTTTCTTTTTGTTTTTCCCCCCCCCCCCCCCTTATTTCTTTCTCTCTCTTTTTTTTAAGTTGGAGGTCGCAGTGGGGAACTTTTTTTTGCGACTGTACCCATAGCTGCAACATTTTAAAAGGAGGGGGAAAATTTAAATAAAAAAGGGAAAAATGATAAAAGGGACAAAAAGATTAAAAAAAAGATAACAACAGTTACACTTTGTTTTTCACAGTTACACTTTGTTTTTCAACGTGTGGCTGAGTGCCTCGATATTTTTTTCCCCCATGTTTTCAGTGTATTTCTGATTTATAGAAGTGTCTAAAACAGGTTGTGCGCTGGAGATCCCCAAAAGCGAAACACACAGCTTGCTGTGGACCTTTATGTTTCCCATTTTGTAGTTATTTGATGCCGTCATGTACATGACTGTTCTGTAGCAATAAATGTGCCATTTTTATAAACTTGTTTCTGACACTTTCGTTTCATTTCATTTTGCATTGTCCCATTTCTGTAGGTATCACAAGGAGTCACTGCCTAGGAATGACCTAATAGGTGGCGCTGTCATCTGCCCTCCCAACTCCAAAAGCAATGGGTTTTTAAAGTGTTCTCGGAAGTGCTCCATTCCAGATGATGTGTAAAACTGAAGTTGTGATCACCCAAGTTCCTCTCTCAGAATATGATTCCTTCTAGAGGCCTCTTCACTTTTTTTTTTTTTTTTGCACTGGGTAGTTGATTAAAAAATCTACTTTCTGGACATAAAAGCACATGTCCTTCTCGGCCTAAATGGTTGTGTAACATGGCTATGCATTGTAATATAGTTGTTGACCTGGCCCACCTTTGACTTGAATTTCAACGGGTGGAACAAATTGTTTGTAATTCCTCTGTATAGTTCTCTCTTTTTTCCCCGAATGAAAGGTGCTACATACATGTAAAATTGCATTCATGACCATCAATTTCTGTAAATACAGCACCTGTATTTTAATGGAAAACTGTTAATGTATGAGACAATTGAATGCACCTATGAACAATGGACAGACATCAAAAAGGTGCTAAGCTGTATGCAAAAATAAACTGAACTATTAGAAAAAAAAATAAGGGTTAATCTATTAAATGCAAAGATTGGAGCAATTAAAAAGTCACGCACAAGACTGCTGTTGATCAATATCTTTAATACTTTCGTGTACTGATTGAGATCATTTTTGTATTTTTAGGCAGAACTGTGACTTATTACAGTATTGCAGACTGAGCTGTGCTATGGATCGAAGTGGGCGGATCATCTTCATTTGTCCCCAATGAGATTATCATTGAAGTTGTACATTATCAATGCTGTTTGTATTTATATCTTGTTAAAAGAAAAGAAGTAATAAATTTTGGTTGGGCCTGTTGCAAATGACCAGTCCAGAAGATTTTCTCATGTGTTAGTTGATTCCCTCACCCCTTTTTAGGGAAAGGTTAAACCAAATTCAGGAAGTCACATATTGGGCTGTGACTGTTAAGTTGATGCCATTTATTATTGGGCAATGAATTTTGATCATGCATTAAACAACTTTTCAATGCCATCGTCTGAATTTTGCAAAGATGCATTGGGTTTAGGGTATTGATAGTACCCAACCCAGAACAATTTCCCAAGCTTGGACTTGGCAATTTACCTATTAAAGCTACAATCCTTTTGCCACTCAGAATATGTACATTGTAAAAGGTAACAAATATCTCCCACTCTTTTAAATAAATTTAGGTAGAAAAATGATCTTGAATTTGGCTGAATTGCTCTAGTGTAGACTTGTGATTTTTGTGTAGAGTTGTGTAATCCAGTGTTGGTCACTTCAGGTGTGTAGACTTCCAACACCTAGAATTCTCATCCATGACTACATGGAATCCAGGGATTTAAAGACCTCAACTCTTAGAAATTGCCAAGTTGGGAACTTCTGGTCTAATCTAATTGAGAGGCAGAGTAGGCAGAAATGAGGAATAGAAAAGGATATATCAGAAGAAACCAAGACAAAAAGTAGAAGTAGAAAGGGAGGAAAGGTGCTTTTTTCCAAAGACAATTGGACTTCTTGGTGTTCTTTGAAAATGTTTCCTCATCCAAGAAGCTTCTTCGGTTCTAACTGAATGACCTGGATGATTGTGAAACTCCATAGACAAAGGGATGAAATGGAAGTCAGAAAAGGAATGAAAATAACAAATCTGACAGGGAAAGAAGATAAGATAAAGATAAGAATACATGCTCATCAATTTCTTTTTTAGCATCATCCTGAGGCTTGTCCTACAGTTGAGCTGGGCCACTAGCCCTTCCTGTCTCAGCTTCCCACGTCATTGACTATGATTGCCAAGTTGTGGTAGCAACATCAGGCAGCCACTCAGTTTCAGTCCTGGCCTACATATTACAATGAAAATCTTTTATAAGCTATTGCTTTGGATTTGATTTTCTACAAATAAAATGTAATAAAAACATGCTTTGGCTCCAGTGTTCACTAACCTCTAACAAGCCACAAATTTCATACACATATTTGTACAATATGTGGTTCTTTAAAAGATGACCCACAATGGTCTTCATTCACAAGTTATAATTGCAAGACTACAGCATAGAACTCTATGATTGCCGTTTTCAGCCCTACAATCATCGATTAACATACCATTATGCATTATTTTGCCAGCACCACAGTCAGAAGAAATGAGGGGAAAATAAGAAAAGAAAAGATTGCTAGCTCTAAACACCAAAAGAATTGAGAAGAATAGCAGTAAGGAAGAATTTATTTAGCCTTTCAGACTATTTTGTTACTCCTTTATTATAGAAAAATTAAGCTAGATGTTATGATAGAAATCAAAATGTAGCTCCTCCTTTTTCAGGGTGTTTTTGGTCATTTTTGGAGAGCTATCGGGAAAAGCAAAAAAAATTCTCTATAACACACAACTGTATATGGAAATTCTCATGATTGTTCCAAAGGAGCTTTTTAAAGAGGCAGCTGGAGTTTCTGGTGTGTGTGGTTTTTTTCTCTGAAGATGTTTCACTTCTCATCCAAGAAGCTGAAGAAGCTTCTGGGATGAGAAGAGAGACCTCTTCAAAGAAAAACAAAAGTCCAGTTGCCTCTTGAAAAAGCACCTTTGGTATAACACACAGTTTTCTCACAAATGAAGGTAAATGTAGGTGTCCCGGGATAACATTGCAGGGTTGGTTTGAGCATGATTTGAGTTGGTCCTCAGGACCAAAGTTTTATTCTTCCAAGCTTTGGGGCTCATGCTGGAGCCCAGCATCAGGGCAAATTCTGGGGGGAAGGAAGTTCCCTCATGATCATGAGCTCCAGCACCAGCCTGAAAGTTTGGAAGAATAAACCTTTGGTTTCTGGTGACCAACTCAGACCAGATTCTGCAAAATGTTCTCAGATATAGAACTGCTCTTTTGGACTGTCATCTTCAGGAAGACAAATCCAAGAACTGCAGAGATGTCTTTCAGCATTAAGGCATTAACACATGGAAAGGAAGTTGAAATCAACAGTGTCTTCCACTTTGATGTTTATATGAAGTCTGGGTTGGTTATTTTTTTTTCTTCCTCAAAATGAAGTTAACCTCTTCATTTGGTAACCATGAGATAGTTTTTCTCCAAGATTTAGTGTGCATTCAACTACATCAATTGTCAACTCATAAAACATTCCTATGTTTTGCTATAAAAAAGGGGAGGGAGGTGGAAGGAAATCTGGAAGAGCAGGGCAGCAATTTGAAAGCGAAAGTACATTCCAACTCTTATATTTAAAAGATTGTAACTAAAATACCAGAGCTTTTGCCCCTAAATATATTTAACTGGAGAACGTGAACGATGACATCCAGCCCATGTTCAATTGGAGAATCTGGTTTAAGAGACACGCAGGGGTGAGGGAGGAAACAGGGTCACAGGCGACTGTAAATTACACATGCCAGAGTTGGCTTCATACAGGGAAGTGCCAGTATGTCGCTTCTAATAAATCCTTTGAAATTTTTTGAAGTTTGGCTCAAGAACCATGATTTAATTAGAGCGATCGCTGGAATCTGGACATCAATTTTATAAGTTCTGGTGTTATTGACAATTGAGGGTTTGATGATTCTCCCCCCTCCCCCATTTTTTTTCAAGAATTAACACAAGACATAAAATGTTCAGACATTGATTGGTGGGGGTGGGGTGGAAATTAAATAACTATATGGTGTTACCCTAAACCAAGCCCTTTGCCTGTCATTCAAAGAAAATACAGCATGTGCTGTACATATTCCACTAAAGTATTCCTGCGAGAGAGAATTCAGATGCAGATTGTTGAGATGAGGGACACTTATCAAATTGGTCCACATTCTTGCTGAACACCACAAGTGACAATTTGGAAAAAACCTATTCCACCCCCTGCCTTAAGAAAACCACTTTAAAAAGCACCATATTGTAATCTGAGGTTAATCAGATTGTACTCTGGTGTCCCTCACAAAAAAAAGCAGGATGGATGGATGTAAAGCTGAAAAAAATCTTATGCAAAATAGGAAGATTAACTCCCCTCTCTCCCACTGCTCCAAATCTCTGTAACATTTATGTAATGAAAGTGACAAGAGTAGAGAAATTGGCCATGGAGAAACAAGGACTTCGCTTTCGTGGTGAAGACCAAAATCTATTTCACACAAAACCAGTGTGGTTCGTAAACCTTTTAGCAGTATGGCAACATCTGACACATCCTAACTGGCAATATCAGGGTGTTTGTGTGTGGTGCATGCATGTGTATGTGTGTTTAAGATTCATTAGCGGGATTTTTGCTGAGAGCTTGCTTTTGTGCTTTGTTAATCGGGGAGAGCTGCCACTGCAGCAGAAATACTAAGCATTTTTTCTGAACCATTAGAGGGAAATGGCTGATCAGTTCTAGTTGGTCAAACCAAGAAATATTGCTGCTCTCTAGAAATAATCTAGGCTGAATTCAACCTGCTTCTCCTCTCCTTCCCCAGCTCTGCAGCACATGCTGAACCTGAATCGGGATGTTCTTTTTTTAACTAGATTTGCAAGATTTGTGGGTTAGAGAAAAATATTCTGCTGTTGGTTGGTGGTGGTGATGGCTTCTAAATCCAGTTGATGCTACTCCAATCAGATTCTGTGTTGCCCATGTCTAATAATAACAGCATTGCCAAAAAGGCATTAAGAGTTGTAAATCTAACCTTACGAAGCTTCTCCTCTGGAAATATCGAATTGCTAACTACAGCTTACAAAACTTTTGCCAGACCAATACTCGAATACAGCTCATCAGCCTGGAATCCACACTGCATATCAGACCTTAATACAATCGAGCAAGTCCAGAAGTATTTCACGAGAAGAGTACTACACTCCTCTGCTTGAAACAGAATACCCTATATTACCAGGCTTGAGATTTTGGGCTTGGACAACCTTGAACTACGCCGCCTATGGTTAGATTTAAGCGTAGCACACAAAATTATCTGCTACAATGTCCTACCAGTCAATGAATACTTCAGCTTCAACCACAACAATACAAGAGCACACAACAGATACAAACTCAAGGTAAACCACTCCAAACTTGATTGAAGAAAGTACGGCTTCAGCAACAGAGTGGTCAATGCCTGGAATGCACTACCTGACTCTGTTGTTACATCCTCTAACCCCCACCCCTTTAACCTCAAACTATCCACTATTGACCTCACCCCATTCCTATGAGGTCTGTAAGGGGCATGCATAAGTGCACCATCGTGCCTACCGTCCCTATCCTACTGTCCCCATTTAT